AACGTTTTAATGGAAGCTACAATGAAAATTGTTCTCGACGCAAGATTTTTATATGTTGGTCAACTTATGACATCAAAAATCCATAAACCATAAAACATAAATCATGATTGATTAAGAACTTAAAACACAATAACATCAAAACATGCCTGATCAACAAATCCATAAAACATCCTTTTTGAAGAATGTAAATCAGTGATTAAGCAAACATGAATCAATAGATGCACATGCCCAATTTCCTCTTATATGACAAAAAAGTTTCTTCGCAAGAGGCTTAGTAAAAATGTCCGCTAGTTTGAGATTTTGAATCAATATAAAAAGGGATACATCTTACGTACATGATCACGCAAAAAATAATGTCGAACATTTATATGTTTCATCCACAAAGATAAAAAAGAAGTATGCTTTGGATAACTAAAATAAAGATCAATTGTATCATTTTCGACAAGAAAACTAGAAAGACGAATATACCAAGCTCTTGGAGCTTGTACCCATATAATAATTTTTGCACCCGATAAACATGATTTAGAACAAAAGATCAAAAAATCCGGGAGGTTGCTAACATAAACCTCTTTGTCTATAAAATCAATAAAAATCATAATATGTAATGAAAACAAAATATATTCTAAAAATAAGTTTGATCAATGTATTTAATCAAAACTAATCATTTTGGGTATTAAAATATGTAATCAAACCAATCAATCTAGCTTTTCATTAAAATTGCTATTTTGTTTTAATTAAGTAAAATATTGATCAATATATGTTTTAAAAGAAATCTTGCAAACACGTTTTTCTTAAAAAAATAAAAATGGAAACGCTAAAAACTAATTTTAAAATCAAACAAGTTTTGGCACTCAGGCACTCTTAGTGCCGAAGAGTAGGGACATGACCCCTATCAATATAATCCAAGGCCCTTGGGTTATAATCTCATTTGGGCGCATTTTGTACACGGATACGGTCATAGCAAAAATCATGCAAATGACCCATCCTATTGTAATAAGTGCAATGGAATGAATGCACTTGTTTTTGTTGACCATCTACTTGTGCACGAGAAATATTTTAAAAAAAGGTTGATCTTTTTGAAATATTTTGCAATTTTGAAGTTTTTCGCAAATCAAAACAAAATTTCGTTAAATGACCAAATCTACCACAAAATTCACACTCAAACACATCAACATGCTTGTGATGAACAATGGGTGCATGTGTGTGCGTGTGTATGATGAAGAAACATTATGAGATGCACAAGGTGCTATAAAATCGGTATTTGTGGGTTTTTGTGCATCATAGCAAGCCAGAGAGCCTCTATATCAAAATAGTACCTATATTATACCGGGGTATAAGGACAAAACCGTCATTGTGACCGAGCACATGATGGTGATGAAGCATAAACTGGCGACTGCATCAATACTTGCTTTACAGGTGTCAGCTGGCGACTAGAGGAGAGATCACCTCAACATTAAATGATAAGTGATTGGAGGCATGACGGTGCCGATGTGGCCCGGTGAGTCATGAAGACTATCGGGGCTAGAGGTATGATGGCGCTTGCTAAGCATTAAATGCGACGTTGACGTTGTCAATGGGGAAAGCTCGAGGTCAAAGTCCTTTAGCTTGCCCGAGAAGTAATGCATTTCGAGTCGACCTCACGATGCGTCGAATAATTGGTCGAGTAGGCTCGTTGCGAGTCGTCTTCGATAAAAGGACCGACAAGTACCGCCTTTCGAGTCGGCACAAGAAGATGTCGACTCGGGGAGTCAGCTAAGTCAGGATATTTGCTGGTCTTGGCCGCTGCTTTGATTGGGGCATTGCATGCAGAAATACACATGTCCGTTGCTGGCAAAAGGTCGTACTTTGGCGAGTGAAACACTATAACAATGTTTATAGAAGTGATCGGGTTTTTAAATAAGTGAGGATAAAACTTTGGGTTAAAAGACAAAAACCCCTTCCTATGCACATCAGATAGCATAAACTAAATTGACAAGAACAAAATTGCACCACTATTCTTCTATTATGGTTGCCCTGTAGACATATCTTATGTGATCTCCTTCTTTGGCATTTCATCAACTAACTTGCATTCTGATTGGGATTTTGCAGAGTCTTCCGGCGTCGAATTGCAGGAGGAGGCGAAGGGGGTTTGGAGTGGTGGAAATTATTTAGTACAGAAAAGAAAGCAGACAAGGGAATCACTATGGATGATGAATTCTGATTGGGATTTTCACGTGGGAGCCACGCTTGTAGACGGAGTAAGGAGAAGATTGAGGAGGCGGAGGAGTAAGCAGGTAGTAAGGAGAAGATTGAGGAGGCGGAGGAGTAAGCAGGTGTGGAGTAGGATCTAAGAGCAAGTGCATCAAGCTCCCAGTTGGGAGTCCTACTCAGCAAGCTCTCAAGAGCTCTCAAGCAATTTAGAATTAAAAATTGAAAAAATAAGCCTTGTGAACCCTTTTTTCTTTTATGGAGCTCTAACAAGCTCCTAGTTAGGAGCTCCAACAATATCAAAAAAGCCCCTTTTCTTTTATACTTTGTATCATCAGCTTCCTCAAACAAAGCAGCACACCCAATAACAAAAATCCCCAACCCAAACCCTCTTTCGCAACCTCCAACCCCAAAATCCCAAACCCTCCGACCCTAATCTTCAGCCCAAACCTCCAACCCAAATCCCAAACCCTCCGACCCAAACCCTCTCCCGATGACGTCCAATTATCGGCGACGACGACCGCGAGCTCTAGCTCCCCAAACCCCAATCTTCAGCGACGACGCCCGCACCCCAATCTTCGGCGACGACGACGACCGCAAGCTCTGGCTCCCCAACCCCAAACCCTCGACATCGTCCGAGGCACCGACGTCGGAGGCCTCTTCGCCGCCAAATCATCCTTCAGCTCCCTGTGTTGGCTCAATTTGGTAGGAGGATTTTTGTAGGGGGGGGTTTGTAAAATTTCAGAGCAGTTGGGAGCTCCCAAGCGCTCCACAAATTTGTGGAGCGCTTGGGAGCTCCGATGGCTGCAAGCTCCACGTCAGCCTTGAGAGCCCTTGAGAGCGGGCTTGGGAGGTTGCTGGAGGGTATGCGGAATCGTTCCACCGCCATGTCAGCCTTGAGAGCTCTCTTACGAGCCCGCTAGGGATTTGGGACGATCAGTTTTTACTAGGGGGCCCTTTGGTTGGTTTCCTAAAAACCAAGAAAAGTAAATCGGTACAGGGAAACCAATAAAATAATACTTTTATCCATTTCCATCCCTAAAACTCACCCACAACATCCAATAAAATAATATTTTTATCCTCCAACTCATCTCATTTCATCTCATTTCTTATCTTTAAAAATAAACCAAACACAAGAAATATGTCACATCATCCAACTCATCACATCTCATCTTATCTTATTTTTAAAAATCACACACATCATCCAATAATATTGTGACAACTCATCTCATCTCATTAAACCTTCATTTCCATCCATTTCCTAAAAAAAAAAAACAAGAAATTGATTTCCTTAAGTATGTGTCACATCATCCAATAATATACCTCCAACTCATCTCATCTCATCTATTTTTTTATTTTTAAAAATGAACCAAACACAAACAACCTCAAAACATCATCCAATAATATACCTCCAATTCATTTCCTTATTTTTTTTAACCAACCAAACAACCTCAAAACAAGTTTTTTTTAAAAATCACTCATATCATCCACTAATAAGGTGACAACTCATCTCATCTCATCTCCTATTCTACAGTTTTCTTCTTTTTTAAGCCAACCAAACAACCTCAAAACAATTATTATAGGAAATAGGTTTCCTATTCTTTGATTTCCCAATTTTTTTGCGAAACGAACAACCCCTAGAGAGAGGGGACTTGAGGAGTAGGAGGAGTGATAGGGATATTTTAGGAATTTAAAAAAATATTTTTATAGATAAACTATAGCAAAGTACTGTATACGAAGAGATGGCTCTAAAAGTAAGTCGTCGCGAGTACTTTGGGTTTACGGTGATTCTTAAAATGGGTGGGCAGTGCTAAACGGTATCCGTATCCGGGGAAATATTCCTAACTGTATCTGTTAGGATACGGATATGGTTATTCAAATCTATAACCAATAGGATATAGTAACAGATATAGTTTTGTAATGAAATATCCGTATCCGTATCTGAAATATCCAAATACTTATTAGTCATAATCTTACGATAGTTTCAATTCTTAGATTATGAATTTGTGATTAATTTTGATGATCATGATGTCTAATCTTAATTTTTCAGTTATAATAAACATATTAACGGACTCTTTTGTATCACATGAACTATGGTTTTTTCAATACTATCTAGTTTTTTCATATCCGTTTTGTTTCCGTATGCATATCCGTTTATATATCCGCATATATCTCCGGAACCGTGTCCGATTTTAGCGGATATGGTTATGAATTTTTCTTACCGATGCATATCTGTATCCGTATCCGTATCTGTATTTGAGATGAGTAACGAATATGATTATGAATATGAATATGATAAGCATGGTATCCGAGCCAAATGCCCGTGAGTGGGCATTCTAACAAATTCAGGGTAGAACTTCGGGCTCAATTCCTTTAGGCTGCGTTTGGGAACAAAGATTTGGATTTGGAATGTTGATTTAAAATCAAAGGATTTTAAATCTAGGATTTAAAATCAATGATTTGATAGAATCTTTTGTTTGGGTATCTTTACAAAATGCAAGGATTTGAAATCAAAGATTTAGAATATAGTGTTTGGATACACTTTATTATACATGAACTTGGATTTCAGAATTTGTGTTTTAAGAAAATTTATGTTTTTTCTTAACTCCTCAACCTTTATGCGGACATTAAGGTTTATGTTGAGGTAAAAGTTAGGATAAATTTCACAAAACCCCCTGAGAAGTTTGACAAAATATCTTTAAATTTTCCAGTAGCTTATTTATTAATAAATTTTCAACAATGATATCCAATATATGAATCATTATTATCTTCAAACCATCACCATTTAATTTCATAACAAAAGGAAAACAATGTTACCATCAGCTGGATCCCAGAATATCAATTCCAATATATGTATGTCACGGGAAAACAAAAACCACCAATACAAATATGGACCCATATTTAAAAAAAACTCCCTTTTTTCAATAATAAATAACATGAAACTACTACTCCTCACTGACACCTGAAGAAAAATCTAGATATTACACAATGGCATTGGCTGCACTAGCAATCCTAGGCCACAAATCAGCACACTCCTTTCCAATTGGTCCAGTAATTACAGATCCTGAAGAAGCAGAAAACATAGATTGATATAATATTAAATAAAGAAGCAAAAACAAATTTATGCATTGTAGTTTTCACTACAAACAACAATGCATGTACAAAATAGAGTCTGATGCTGAGATGGTTAAAAAAAGGATAATCCATGGGAAAAGGGTGTAGACATACCTTTCATTTTCCCCTTTGGGTTCACAATAACCCCAACATTATGTGCATCACAAGCAAGTAAGTATAAACATGTCAGAACAGACCAAGATATAAATCATAAACAAACCTTATAAGTGACATAGTTCAGCACTTAGGAGGAAATAACGCTCAATTAATTATAAAGACAAATGTCCTTAATGCTAATATATTAAACCAACCGCATAGATATCCAATGAAACACAAGAAGTCCAGTAACTCATAAAAGCAAATTTCGATATTACAGCAAAATGAAGCAAACAATGATATGACAACAAAATGAAAGCTGGATGGCTAGATTTTGCTAGTTTAGATGAAAAGGGGAGCTTCTTTATTTGAGTTGAGTCTATCTGTGCACTATAATATTGGAAGTTTAATTAGATTTTTTAAATACTATTCTGCATGAAATGGAAATGAAACAAATCTGATTACAGGATAAATTTGAAAACTCAAAAATGCGCGGTACATAAAATTTTATGGAAATGAAACAAATCTGATTACAGGATAAATTTGAAAACTCAAAAATGCGCGGTACATAAAATTTTTACATGATAGTATGATACGGTAACTTTAGATGATGCAGATTTATCTACCTGCAGGGCAAAATCCGACGAGATAATCCTTCCTTCCTCTAGTCAAAGAATTGGTGGAAGCTCAATGCACCTAACAAGGGTTTTACTGTTGAGGAGCTCTGTGAGATGCCCAAGGAGATGCCAATGATCACTGAGTGAACCACAATGCCTAGTTCCAAAACCTGCACACAGTCCAATTTGGTTCAGAATCAGATAAAAAGGGGGTTATTTTCATAATTAGGACATGCCCACTACCTGTTAGTTAAATGTCATGATTATATTCCACTTTTCTTGGAAAATCCACTCACTGATGACAAAAACCTTGTTTCCAATAACAAATCAAGTTATTTCCGATGGAGCTAGCCATTTTGAGCTATGCCAACAATAAATTTAACAAAAGGTAAAAGTTTTTCAGAATATAAAAAAGGGCCAGGAGTGGGCCAAGACAAACTGCATCAAGGCAGTTAAAAAAAAGGCATTATAGTGTTTAGAAGAACCAAAGTATTGGGGAACGCTACTTGATCAAAAAAATTATCACGTCTATATACCCCAAAGTTTTGATATGAAATATGTACATTAGGGTTTTCTTTGTAACTGATACGATAGTCATTAACGCAAAGCTGTTTATGACAAGTGACAACTATTTCTTGAACAAAACTTAACATAGAAATTATCGAGAAATTTAGTAAATGTGCAAGAGTAATAAGCTCAAACCATGGACGTGCAAATTTAAGTCACAGAAGAACTAGAGCTACGTTCTCTCAACAAGGATCCTTTCTACACCAAGCCTTCAAGATTTGCTAGCATACATATTCACGAACAACATTGAACAACATTGTCAGAAGCATGCAATTTACTTGACCAAAATACAAACAAAGTGATTGTGTTCAAAAAAATATAGCTAATGCTGACTATTGTTTAGACTATCAATGGAGGATTTGTTTGTTATTGAGGCTTTTATTGTGCTAACGTTGACAATAGCCCTGAGTTGACGATGGCTACATTTAACATTGCTCTTACACACATTACAAGTGCTTTCTCAAATTAATGTCGTAGAAAGAAAAACTAAATAGTAAATGCTATACAAGCAATAAATGCAGTTTACCACCTTATGCCTTTTTTTCCTTATATTGCAAACCCTTAGAAAAATTATTGCTCATGACTGCACTGATATATCATACTCAACAATAAATAAAGTAACTTGTAATAACAAATCATGAAGAATTCTACCAAGCCAAATTGAGTATTATCTAAACATTGTCAGTTTATATACTAACTCATTGTCAGTTTGGAGTAAATGCATACATTTGGGCCACTTTGAGCCCCATATTTAGACTACAAATTAAATTTGTCAATAGAGTGTACATTATCGAGTCACATTTAGTTCAGATACTTGCAAAACTAATTACAAAGCTCTATTGTCAAAATGCACTAGAAAAGATGCATGATACAATATTGCTATCAACATTATTTGGTCATTGAAATGGAGATGTCCAGTCTGATAAAACCTAAAATCTACCTTAAAAACATTCAACATTATTTGGTCATTGAAATGGAGATGTCCAGTCTGATAAAACCTAAAATCTACCTTAAAAACATGGCGGAGTTCAACACTAACAAATGCTTGAAATGGTCATTGAGGATCCTCTCATGATCATTGTTTTTGCATTAGCTAATAAAACCCATCATTGGACTGCCATATCTCTTCCATCCTTCAATTCTATTTGCAAATATTTCCAATGCCTAATGGCAACAGCGTGCGCCCTCATAAACTCTGAAAACTGTAAGACCTTAGGATTCGAACTAATTGTTAATTTGGAGTAATGATCTCAGACACTATTATTGTAAGAGCAATGCCTTCTTCGAGAATGTAGATAACTATAAGGTCTATAACTTTAAACTTGTCTACTATTTGGATGGATGGGTCTTTGTCTTAAGGTGTGTTGGATGCAATATCATTCTTTTAAGGTGGATGCGTATAGAAATCAGACTACTCACTAGAATGATCAAGCCCTCTTGACTATCTCCCTTTTACCTTACAACACATCGACCATGAAGCATCAACGAGACAACGACCAAGTTCAAACATTTTTCTTGAAATTTCTTATTGCCCATAGTCTTAGAAATGAAAATGCCAGTAAAGGTGCATGATTTAATAGTGATGCTTCTTAAAAATGAAAACTTTGACATAATTCTCCACTAATACAACAAAAAGACTGGTCAAATTTAACAAATCTAACACTGCATAACCCTAACAGCTCAAATTTTAACCAAAAAAGAGGAATTATTCCATATTCAATCCCGGATCTAATGAAACAACTGCTCAATCCAAACAAATTTAAAGCTCGAAATCAAGATCCCAGCATCGGATCAAGCAAATTAGGGTTAAAGCTCAGCGTACCTTGTGATCGGACTACAAAGCGAACGCAGCGACGAGGAAGAGGGAGCACACGACGAGGGGGAGAGATCAGATCTAGGGTTTCGATGGAACGAAGAGAGAGGAGAAAGGGGGAGATCTAAACCCTAGATCGGGTTTCGACGAGAGATGGGAAGGGGAGAGAGAGGAGAGATAGAGGTAGAGGTTAGCTGTGTTGCGTTGAGATAGAACTTAGAGAGTCGGGATCGAGGGGACTAAGAAATGAGAGAGAGGAGTCGGGATGGGGATTTGGTAAATACCAAGGGCCAGTGTAGGATTTGAAATATCTGTATTTGGGATTTCAATTTCTCCTTTCTTAAATAATTTGATTTGAAATCTTAGCTTAATTGAAAGTCCAAACTAGAGATTTGGATTTGAAATACCCTGGATTTTAAATCCAGGGTCCAAATCCAAGTTCCCAAACGCAGCCTTAATTTAAAATTTTGCCAGCCGAGCCCACGTGCCTCACAACTGCACGAGCTTGGCCATCTGCTGCCCATGTGATAAGACCGTCTTTATTGCTCCTTAGTTCTTCCCTCTTCGGTCCTGACTCGACCTTCAGCATCGGCCAATAATAACAAGCCAGACGCATTTACAAAAAACACCCCTTCCCAAATCCGGAGCACCGGCTGCATCAGGGGCATTCTCGTCTTTTCTATTCCCCTCGACCCTCGACAGTCGACACTCCCTTCTTCAAAAGGCGACCGCGGTCCTCGTCTCCTCCTCTTCTCTCGTCATCAGCATCGTGGGAGAGCGCGGTTCTGGTCACTCTCCCTGACCTCTCTATTCCCCTTCATCCTGTGAGATTACCGGCAACAAAATGGCGGGAGGCGCGGAGAAGATCGACTACGTGTTCAAGGTCGTCCTGATCGGCGATTCGGCGGTCGGAAAGTCTCAGATCCTCGCTCGATTCGCTCGGAACGAGTTCAGTTTGGATTCCAAGGCGACGATCGGCGTCGAGTTCCAGACTCGGACGCTGGTGATCAGTCATAAGAGTGTTAAGGCTCAGATCTGGGATACTGCTGGCCAGGAGAGGTAAATCTTAGACCTAGAACTCGATTGGATATTGTTGATGATTAAGTTACAATTTGATCTCTTGCATTTTTGTAGATCTAGTAGGTGTTTTTTTTAATTAATTTCTCTCTTTTCGGATCTTAGTTAGTAACTTAGATCTTGTTTAAGTGGTGTAGAGTTTTTTTTAATTAATTTCTCTCTTTTCGGATCTTAGTTAGTAACTTAGATCTTGTTTAAGTGGTGTAGAGATTTGAGACATGCTATTCTCTCTTTTCGGATCTTAGTTAGTAACTTAGATCTTGTTTAAGTGGTGTAGAGATTTGAGACATGCTAATGCTTCTTGGGCTGTTTTTGGATCTTAGTCTATGAGATGTCTTAGGTTTCGACTTTGCTTTGGCCTTTTGAAGTTTTTGAATCTTGATGACGGGGTGTCGGTGTTTGTCTTCACTCTTGTTGAATGCTAATTTGATGTAGTAGGGAATCTTTTTAGTCCCAAGTTATTACATGGATGAGAGTCCTCAAGCTCAAGCAGCCACCTTTTTAGCGGCGAGTTTTCCCGGGTCTCTAACAAATGTATTATTCAAACGATGAAGTCAACATTGCTGTGTTTGCTTGAGACTAGTGCGAGTGTAAAACCACGTCAAATCACCTATATGATCAATGTGGCAGTAAATCGACCCTCTATCAGTGTTTCATTCAAATTTAACGAATAATAAATAAATAGATTTGGGGTTGAATAATGGTCCTTGTTGGTTAGATCAGTGAAATCTCGATGTAGTTCTGCCAAATTAGTTTGGATTATGGTACTGCACCTCCTAGTACCAATCATATGTTTTTTGTTTGAGCAGTGATAGAGATATTTGTTACTTGACAGTTAACAATCGTTGCGCTTATGGTTTCAAAGAAATAGTGTTCGTGAAATTGCCTCCCAAACTGTCAATAACCCATATAATTGGCTTGTAATTTTTGGACTGTCGAATTCTAGCTAGCTTCTCAACTCTTGTCCTTTGCGAATGGTTTATATTGATGAGAGACTAAGAAGGACAACATCAGCTCATTATTGAAAAATACGTCATGCTAGAGCACATGATAGGGCATATGATATTATCATGGCTTTTGAGAGCAATGGCATTCAAAGAAGTGGTGTCTAATATGGGCATGACTTCTTAGAAGTGATCATACAACATAGTAGATGTGTGGTAGTGGCATATGTTTTGCCTGCTTCTGTAAGTAATACATCGATCAGAGATTTTGTGTGTGTGTGTGTGTATATATCATACTCTCTTTAAAAGCACGAGTTCGGGAAAATCTTTTGGTAGACAAAAATACCCCTATAAAGTTTGAACTATTCTATCACTAATCAAATTTGATTTTTTAATACTAATCTATCATTAGCCTAGGAAATTAATAAATTCTTAGTAGATATACATAGTATAAAGATAAGGAAACAAATTATATTTAGATTATATTGGAATTAAGAAATTTAATTACATTCTCATCCTAATCTATACACTAATATTTACCCACAACTATCTTTACAAATTATTGAATACCTCAATTTCAGATAAATAATTCTCCCCCGCCACCTCTAAAAAGAGCTATCTCCTTTTATGGAATTGAAAGAGTTTTCTCCACTTCTTGCGACGGTTGTTTTTTCTCCTAGGGTTCGAATTTTTGGCTGTCACTCCTGCAATGAATGTATGCTTTCCTTTTCATTTTCTTTTTTACTTCTTAGATCTTGATTTGTTTTGGGCATTCTATTCTTGAAAGATTTGTGATGGGGTTTGTTGGTTTAGGATTTCCTTAGAGTTTATGTTTAGATATTCAATCTAAGATGTGGGTTTATGATTTCTATAAAGCTTTTACAGATTTTTTTATTGATTGTGTATTGATTTGACATTTCTTTTTTTTATTATATGCCATAGTTTATGTTTAAATATTCAATTTTTAAATTGTATTTAGAATCTGGAGCTGTAAGACTAAAATTAAAGATTGACAATAATTTGCTATGAATATTTGTAATGTTTTAGGTTATCATTAAGTAATAAGGTATAGTAATGACACAATGCTTGGTGTTTGTTGTCTTTATGAAATGTAAATGAAAAGGTTATCAATTTTGATGTTTGTCAGACCTTTACCTTTGAAGCCCACTAAAAGAGCAAAATTTTCATTGATGTGGAGATTAGTGAATTCAGGATTTTAGAGCTGAAATAAAAAACTAGCTAGGATTTAAGATGAATTGGTTTGTGAAGAGGGGTACGAATATGTTTTTCTTCTACAATTGATGATTAGGGACAATTTTGTCAATACTAAGATTTGGGGGTATTTTTGCAAATATGCATGGTTTAAAAGGTATATATAAAAATAAGCCTTTCTTTTTTAATCTTAACACATACAAAAATTAAATTTTATTATGGATTTCTTTACCCGCAGGATGATAATGTGACTACCTACTCTTCAATTGCACATTCTCGCTCGTCTTAGACTTTAGTATCACCATCACTTCTTTGAGATACTTACAGATGAGGGTTTTAGGTTGTTGAACATTGTTTCTTCTGTAACAACTATGGCAGAATGTGCTACAAAGTTATGCATATTGATCCATGATAACTTTTTGCCCATAACAAAAATCTTTAACTATAGTAATTAAGAATGACAGGAATGTGTCATCTACATATTCATCCAACCAAAAGAAAATAACTTGGGTACTAAGAACATTAAAGTAAATTAGTAGAGTTAGACTAATATCGCTCATGTTATGTCATTTCTCATTCTATTCAGAGATTATTATGATTGTTCCACTATCATGCCCTCTTTAAAATTATGAGTTCGGAAAAACTTTCCATGGTCAATATTACCATTAACTTTTTTGAATATTATATCTTAATCATAATATATCCTAATTATCCAATACAAATTTTAAATATCCTATTACCCTTGACACTTTTTGGATGTTACATTGTAATCTAATCTTAATTAATAATTATATCTTTATTAATAAAATTTATGGTTTCGTTCCTATTGGCTGTTAGCTAATGTTGATAAGGAAATTCAAATGATCTCAGTAAGTTTCTTTGCCAAGCTTATTTGATTATAATCCAATTTGTTATAGAATTAATATTCTTACTTTATGCAAAGTCTGAAAAACAAAAATGTGTAGCTATATATATCATGGGTTGGGATAGAAATTTGAGAAAACTACAGTAATTTGGAACATAGCTCACTTCTCTCTATATTCTGAACCACAAGATAATTAAATTATTTGGCTGCTGATATTTGTATTGGCTCTGTGCTTACTCTTCACTTGAGAGAGATTATATTAGATTTCTTGTAGTGTAATTTGGAATTAGTGATTTGAACCATGAACTACCTGTGTGTATTATCTTGTTTATATTTTCTTTGCTTTTTGTGATTGATATTTGCTTATCAGGGGATTTGTCAAAACACATTAAAATCACTAAATTACCAAGCCCATATTTGAAAATGAATCAGCAAAATATTATTTTATTTATTTGATTAGTATTAGGATTATTCAATTTTGATGTTGTAATTTATGACTTACAGTTCAAACTACACACATTAGTCTGTCAATGCCATAGATGTCCTGAACTCAACATATTTTGAAAGCGGAATGGAGACTCTCGAGTCCCGATGATCTTTATATTTAGGAAGAGGTAGAGATTTTCGTAGTAGCATCTCTATTATGATAGGATTTCATTCTCGGTATGTTCCTTCTCTTTAATATCTCATAAGCTAATTTTTTTCTTAAAAACTATATGCCTTTGTTCATCGGTCCCCTAAATGCCAAAATATGCATGGTAGGATTTGATGTGATCTGTGAAGGACAAAAGACAGTTCACAAAGTGTTTCAGATCTTATTACCATATTATTTTGCTTATGGGATCCTATAAAACGTTTTGAGCATGAAAAACATCGACTTAAGCCACTTATTATTTAGTATTAATGTATATGAAATACCTCCTTAAGTACAAATATGTATGATACAATCATATCCACATCCAGCCTCATTTCCTCATTTTAAATTCATTTATTTTTCACTTGCCTTTTTCAAGTCCTTTTTTTTATCAAGTTCTACTACCGCTGCTTATACAGTTCATTTTTTTAATATATTTACAAAAGCTTATATCTGCTTTATTTAAATTATATTGTTATCGATGAGTCTTAAACGACACAAAATTCCACATATTGTTATCGATGAGTCTTTACAATAACGTTCGATATATTCCAGTGAAATCTTTAAAGAGAAAAGGTAATGACATTGCCAACAGTATTACAAGTAGCAAACTCAATGTAAAGTTAACTAAAAATTTAATGGACATATTGCAAGTAAATTCATATGCAAAATTCCTTTGCGAATTGAATGACCACCCATTTTTTAAAGACTTCAAGATACTAATAAATAGAGATGTTGTACTAGATTAATGTGTTTATAACAAGATACTAATAAATAGAGATGTTGTACTAGATTAATGTGTTTATAACTCAAAAATAGTAGATCACGTGGTCACAGTCTGGGTTAAAAAAATAGTACTAGATTAATGTGTTTATAACTCAAAAATAGTAGATCACGTGGTCACAGTCTGGGTTAAAAAAATAAAATTTTATTTGAGAGAGATTATTGAGTTGATGATCAATCCCACAAAAAAATTTATTTTTTAAACTTTATTTTTATCAATTTAAATAATCATGATATTCAAATTACCTAGAAGAAAATGAAGGCTATTGCATGACTGTCCTTAGGTTTGATATCAAACATGAGAAGTTTGAAGTTACATTGATCGCTCATACACCCACTTAGAAGAGATTGTTGTATAATTATACATGAACTAAGAGGACATGTTTGCGTTGCGCTTGTTACATATAAAAAACCTCAGGTGAAGCTATGTTTACTCAAGGATAACAAGAATTGGATTGAAATGTTGAGCGTCTGTACCGAAAATTGCCAAGAGAATTGCTTAGGTTCACCACAATTACCTAAAGTTATCAGTATCGCTGATGATAAGATTCCGTTCGAGTACCGTAATTACGGGAACTATTCAAGCAGATTATGTTGTCATGACTTTGAGCATGATACTTGCACTCCAATCCTAAATGAAGTTGTTCCATGTTTTTCTTCGTACTCAAAAAGTCTCGACTCAACAAGAAAACTGTTGAAAATATTTAAAGTAAATTATGGAGAAAAAGGATCTTTTTAGATATGTTTTAGTGCTTATTTGTTGCTATTACTTACGGAAGTTTTCTGTGAAGATTCTATTCTGCTCGGTTTGTTCCTCGAGTATTGTCGGTGATTTTGCTGCTCCTTTTTTCCGTTTACATATATCGGGAAGTATTATATAATGATATGTTCTATGTATTCAAATTCTATGTTAGAAAAGAATATTGTAGTGTCAACTAAATGAAAGAACAACCTTGTTTTTTTCTTAAAAACATTTAGTTATTTTCCAATTGCAGATTTAGTAGTCTAATTGTAATCTAGATAGTTAGAACAATAATGCCAAAAAGTTGACGATCTAAATCTCGACCTTCCTAGAATTTATCAATGCCAAAATAAGTATATATTTATATACTTATTCTGTGGATGCTTTTATATCATATAAAATTATATTAGAGTTAGCATTAATATTTAGCTTATGGTTTTCAAATGAAGTCTATCAATGATTATGAATAAAATCCATATTCTCTTTTGTGCCATGTAGCCACTTCTAATCAATTGTCTAGGCTCATTGGCTTTAATTATTTCTCTTGCTATTATAATGCTATTTTTTTAAAATATTTTTTACTTTTACAATATTATACTTCCTTGGGGAAGCATTCTTTCATGTCGATTTAAATAACATGAATATTCAAATTGGCCTCGCGTTGTTTTCGTGTAGCCCATTCAAACAAATATTAGTTTTTTCATGTAGCCCACTCGAACAAATATTAAAGAAGATAAATAATTACAATATTAAATTTTAGAGATATAAGTGAGAAAAAATCGAAATCAAGGAACAAATTTTAGTAAGAAAATAAACTAAAAATGAATAATTATGATATTTAATCGCGTGCAATGCACGTGCATAAAAACTAGTGTGTGTGTATATTATATATATATATATATATATATATATATATATATAATATATATATATATACTATATATATATAGAGATGAGAGAGAGAGAAGAGAGGAGAAAGAGAAGAGAGAGAGAGAGAGTAAAGCTCCTATAAACTCTTGAGTGGATAGAAACACTTGTCCACTAACTTTTTATCTATTATTATTGCTTTGAGATTTGTGCTAATATATGATACAAATTAATGCACACATCTGTAAATATTTACACTTTAAGCCTTGCACAAATCTCAAAGCGAATCTAATGGATAAAAAAGTTGGTGGACAAGTGTCTCTATCCACTTAAGTATATAGGAGCTTTGCTCATAGTTATATATATATATATATATATATATATATATATATATATATATATATATATATAGAGAGAGAGAGAGAGAGAGAGAGAGAGAGAGAAACTTATGTCAATTTAAGTGGACCATCCACCAAAGTTCTTATCCATTGATGAAAAGTCTCTTCATATGATGTACGGATCTCTAGGTATCATTAATGGATAGAAACTTTGGTGGATGACCCACTTAAGTTGACATAACTTTTTCTCATATATATATATATAGGAAAAGTGTTTGTAAGGTGGCACCTTTCCTCTTGATTGAGTTGATTCATGAATTAGACTATTCCAATTGAAGATCCGCTCCATTCATCATAATCTAAATGTCTCAAAATATCTATAAAACAAAAATCATGATAATTAAATACTTCTAATATATATTTTTCATTGTCTCTTTTGTTATATTGTCGTAAAACCGTTAATTTTATAATCACTTTATGCATGAATAACTACAACCCAATATGGCTAATTTTTTGTTTGTATACAATCCAAAACATATAAATCAAAATGAACAGAGTGGATCGTGTATTTTGATAGTTTATAATGTAGTTTTTAAGGTGCTACCTTAGATTGAATCTATGGTGCCACCTTATGAACACTTTTCCATATATATATATATATATATATATATATGGTGAGGTTCTAATAAAAACCTCCTTAGCCTAAGTGTTTTTAAATTTTTATGTATTATATATTATTATTTTTACTTCATAATTGTTCTCTTTCATATTCGCATATAATGATTTGCAAGTAGGCACTAAAACTTTAATTGTCTATGACTCTATGGTGCTAAACATGATTTGGTTCAATAAAGAGTAATATTCATTTCCTATTTATGTCACTAGCTATTTACACCCAGATTCTGCACAACTATCATGTCTATGCAAAACCAACAGGGAATCATGTTGGCCATATCATGTTTGGTAGCATCAAACACTGCATGAAAACTATTATTAGGAATTATTATTAGCAGTTATGATAGTGCTGACGGATATGACTTTTTGGTTTCTGGATTGTATTTCCTTTTCTTATGGTGTTAATTCTTATTAGCAGTTACATAACACAAAGAAATGTCTGTTTAAGTAGCTTTGGAAGGTAACAGCAATGTTTATGATTTGTTTTGGCACTTAGGTTCTTAACCTCTTAGATATTTCATTCTTGCTCATCCTTAGAAAGGTGTACTAGTTTGTCACGGGATGAGACTCCTTATGTGAATCTGTTGATTAATAGCTGCTCCTTTCTTGGTAATGTCTATGATTTTTCTGACCCAAAGGAAAAGGAAAGGCAGATTCTTTCATGAAATGACTGCACAAGTGTTTCTTCCTTCTTTTAGTTCTACATTGAAGACCAATATCTAGTTGTTATTTAATTTAGATCTTCTAATTACATTGTAAAAATTTCCTTTTCCCTTCACCGACTCTACCTAAAATGGTAACTGAAGCTACCTTTGAATGTGCCCATATCAGCTAGGTATTAATAGTTGAAAAAGGAAAGAAAGCCTTTTAAGTGTTTAGTACCTTCAGAATAAGTTGTTAACGTGCTTTTTGCATTGCCGTTACTGGTGGAGATTCTAGTTCTCTTTCACTGAAGTATTTAATAATTAACAAACTAAAAGAAATTCATAGTTAGGGTATCATGTTTTATTTGTGAGCTAGTCTTGCTTATAACTTGGAAAATGGATCATTGTCTACACTGAATCACTAAGAAGTGTTATGCATTTCACTAAGGGAAAATATGGTTCAGACACTAAATAATGGACAAAAGAAACAAGCAAGAAAAGATGTATTTTGGTTGAAGATATTGCTCTCTTCTGCTTCTGCCTAGAAGACCACTTGGAAAAGGCTTTGTTTCTTAAGCACTTGCTATATGGTTGCTGCTTTAGATTGGCTACACTAGAGCAATTGAGATGTCTATTGATGGAATATTGTTTGGGAATCTTCCACCACCTCTAGGTCAATTTTTCAGACCACCACTTCTGTCTAAATTCATTAATAGGAGCTTTCTATTCATTAATAGCAGACATTTATTCAAAGTAACGTTCCTTGGAATATATGGCCTATATCCAGTTTGTGCTAAATAAATGCTGACAGTCTATGTTATCCGGGTACTTCTATAATGAAGCTGTACCTGTACCGGGCACGTACTAGACACCTTCCCGTACCAAAACTTTATGGTCACTTCTTGAATATATGCATGCATTTATTAGATCATGCACTCAATTATACAATATATGTGTTAATTAAAAAAAATTTGTCAAACACTTCTTTCGACGTATAGCTTTCACATCCGTTTCTTGAAACTAGTTAGATATGGGTCGGGTTCGTTTCCGTCCATACCCAAGTTCAAAACTATATAGTTAAAGGGTCGTTTGGATATCTAGTAAAAAAGAATGAGTACTTTCCAAATTATGATAATCAATATGATAAAAGAAACTTAAAAATGTGATCAGATTTTTAATTCTAATAACAAATGAAGCAGAAAAAAGATCTTATGTATATTATAAATTCAATATATAACAAATGAAGCAGGAAAAAGATCTTATGTATATTATAAATTCAATATATATATATATATATATATGTAGCCGTGTCCCTGGACTCTACATTTTATAGTTTTGCCATGTCCCGTGCCCCTACCCGCACCCGTACTAGTTTCCATGCAACTTAGCTGACAGTTCACTCAGCTACCCTGATTTACCTTGACATACCTAAAATAGAAAACTTTCTTACCTAAGATCAAAGTTTTGTTGAAGCCTCCAAAAATTTCATATTCTACTATTTCTATTAGCCATGTAGACTCTAAACTCTAACATCACAATTAATGTTTCGGATATATAGTTTTATTATTAGTCATTAATTTATGCTGTGATACCAAAATCTTATTTCTGCTTCTAATTTTTTCAGTGCACTCAACTTCTTTATCTCTTTAAAATCATGCAATCGCTTTAAAGTTGCATTCTTCTTCTTTTATAACCTGTTAACTATTTGTAGACGTTCCCATCATCTGATCCAATTTACCCATTGCTTGAAAAATCAGGTATCGGGCCGTCACTAGTGCATACTATCGAGGCGCTGTTGGTGCCCTTCTCGTTTATGACATAACCAAACGCCAGAGCTTCGATCACATCCCACGCTGGCTGGAAGAGCTCCGAAGCCACGCTGATAAGAACATTGTCATCATGCTGGTTGGTAACAAGTCTGACCTTGAAGACCAAAGGCAAGTTTCCCTCGATGACGCCAAAGAATTTGCACAGAAGGAAGGCCTCTTCTTCCTCGAAACATCAGCTCTCGAGTCTACCAACGTGGAGCCTGCTTTTATGACTGTGCTCACTGAGATTTTCAATATTGTGAACAAAAGGACTCTAGTTTCTGATGGCCAGGGTAACGGTACAGCGCCAGCTGCTTTACCTGGGAAGAAGATCATTATCCCTGGACCAGCACAGGAGATTCCAAAGAGCAGGACTTGCTGCTCGTCGTAATTTGGGGTTGTTGTTATCTTGGGTTTGAGTAGTACGTGTGAGTTGAATTGTTTTTTAGGTCTCTTGGTATATTTTGTATATGCTGGTTTGTCTTCAGATCTGGATGGCAATTTATCTGCAACTCACAAGAGCTTTGATTGTTACGTAGAAGGCCACGGCGGTTTGGCGGTTTTGCGCTAGGCTCATATTTAGATGCTCCCGTGTGTTGTCTTTGACATATGAATCTGATCTGATGTTTTTCACACTTTTTCAAGAAGTCAACCTGAGGGGGCCTGACCCTCAAGGTATTATTTGTTGGTGTTTTTATCATAGTTACATGGATCACTATGTTGGGGCAGTACGTAGATTGAGACTCATGGACGTACATTAGACCCTACCGGACTCTTCCTTGAGTTAGTAGACAATGTATCTCGGTTCACATATTATATGATAAACTTGATTAATCGGCTCTTTGTTGTGTTTAGCGTGATTAATTGACGCAGTAAATTGTATATTTTTTCTTTCTTTCTTTCTTTATTTTTCTTCATCATGAATAAACTAGAATTTCTCCCACGTTATTAATTTTATTATGACGACCAGTGACGGTGGTCCACGGTGCGGAGCGTAACATTTACGCCGCAAGTAGGGTCTTTTTACCCGTATGGTTGACTGTAGCGTAGCCTGCTACCTTATCGTCATCGTCCGGCTCATTTTCTTTATCCCGGTCAGCATCAGCTGTCAACACCCACATCTTGTCCCCAAACACCCAAAGTCCCACCGCCTCGCTTTCCAGAACGAATACGCGCGCCCACGGAGGAAGAAGCGGCGAGTGTTGATCACAAGCCAATGCCCAGCTAGAAACGAGGAACCCATGGCGTTTGCTTCAGCGGTTGTCACCGCTATTTCCCTCCCTCCACCTCCCCTCGCGCTTACCACCACCAAGTCCAGATTCTTGCCGCTGCGGCGAGATCAAAATCCCCGACGATTCCCTCTTCCCAAAAAGCCGTGCATTCAACCAGCAGCAGCAGCATCGTCATCATCGAGCAGCGAAGGCAGCGAGAAGAGCGAGGATACCTCTGCAGCGACGCTGTTATGGAGGGCGGCCAAATTGCCCATCTACTCCGTCGCCCTTGTTCCTCTCACCGTAAGCACGAGACGCCTCTAACTTTCCCTTTTTCATTCGGGTCATTACGTTCCTTGAATTACTTATGTCTTCATTATTCGTTGAATTTGAAGCCTCAAGAATAGAACATGCTCCTTGGAGTTCTGTTTGAACAAATTGGATCAGCAGAGTTTCTGGTGCACAATAAGAGAGAAAGATCGATAAGAATTCTTGTTTCTCAAAGGGAACAAGAATCTGAAGCCTAATATCCCATCAAAGTGGGATATTAGCTCTTCCTCTCGTCAGCTCTAAGACTACGCGTCGAGGGATCCTAATAACTATTACAATTGCCACAAACTCAAACAACCAATTTTTCCGCAGCCACAACCAAAATCTCCTTTTCTCCTGCACGTGCACACTGTAGCCGCCACAAACCCTTGCCTTCAATTGCACGCCAGAGCCAAAAGAATTTCGTAGCTGCCAAAGCCTCCGAGCACCAAACCCTAGGAACAAAATAACGTGGCTATTTATAGCCTGATAAAGATATATGTGGGTCAGCGGTTAAAACCAAACCGCGTTAAGAAACGTGTGAGAAGAAACACGTTCACGTGGGCCACTGGTCTCCACATATTCACAATTCTCCACCTCGGTGAAGTTTTTCCAAAACTGAGCCGACACCAAAGCATCCAAATGTTCCAACTTGTTGTGTCCAGTACGAACTCAATCCACAACAAGTCGTGAACCCGAACGAGAGTCAAAACAATCTCACCTCCATCAACTAATCCAAAACCGGCTGCATCTGAAAGACTGCCTACGTATCCTCTTGCCCAAGGAATCAAGCCGAACGTAGTTCACCCAAATGGCCGCGAATGACCTCAAACCAATAGAAGAGTTCGCAACCCTTCTCCAATACCATCAACTCTGCGGCTGATAGCACCTCCAATGGCCTCAAACACCTCCACCTGAGGTGAACCAATGGTCATATCCAAACTGCATCTATCAGCTGTACTCGAGTCAAAACCCAACTCATCATCTGCATCCGAATCCAAATGACTTCCACGCTGTGTCACCTCAGCTGGAATCCCAACCAATGCAGAATGACCTGGAGTATGTGGAAAAATCCCCACCCAATGTGGAGTAGCATTAGTCTCCACCCGCTGCGATACCTCTAAGGTCTGTCCAAAACTCTCCACCTGCTGAGAGTCAATTAGCTCCATCATCGAAGCCTCAACCAAAGTGACACTACCAGACCTATCTTCTAATGGAGTTTTACCTCCAATCCTATCTTCCAATGGAGTTTTACCTCCAATCACAGCAGTTGACAACTCTATAATAGGATGACCCAAATATGTCGAAGCCTCTGTCCAGAAACTCTTCTGCAAACCATTGTTCGACCATAAACACTGATCCTCCTCCAGCAAGGCACGGTTCTCCAAATTTACCATCCTATCTAGTTGCCCCAAGATTTCCTTTCCAACGAAGTGTCTCGAAATGCCGTGAGCTCGGCTCCAATACAGAAACAGGTCCATTTTGTATCTCCCACCCAAACTAGAGTGAAGTCTATTACACACTTCTTCAATTTGTTAGAGACTACTAGGACTTTATCCAAAGGAGATTTGGTTCCAACCTAAACACGTCTAGAATAGCCACCAACAAAGGAAACCAAACATCTATTTTCTCCCAATGATGCCCCCTTGGAAGGCCCCCCAAACATCTACGTGAACTCCTCCAGAACGACCCTTAACTCGGTGAATAGAGGTGCCACACTTCACCTTGGTCTTCTTGCTCACATCAACATGTTCACTGGACTTCAAACTGTAGGTCTTCACACCCTCTTTCAATTTATGCGAGGAATCAATACTGGAATGGCCAAGCCCTAAATGCCGCAGTCTAGTCGAATCAACAGAAGTCGTCAGCTCTCCACCTGCCATTATACCTCCAGTCAAGTAATACAGGTTATTTCTCCTGACGCCCTTCATCAAAATACGAGAGTCTCTCGCAATCTCAAGAACCATGTCCTCAACACGAACCTTCAGACCCTCTCCAACCAAAGCTCCAATTGAGATCAAGTTTTTCCTCAAAGAAGGAACATATCTCACATCGTTTAACTCTCTAACAGTCCCGTTAAACATCTTGATGCGAATTCTTCCTATCCCAAGGATCTGGCATGCACGGTTATCAGCCATGTACACCACACCACTATCCACCAGCTTCTTAAAACTGGAGAACCATTCCTTTCTAGGGCACACATGATAGGTCGCACCACTATCCAACATCCATTCAGATTCCTCCGAATAGCTATCTGTAGGACTGATAGAAAGCGAATAAATAGAAGAGTCAGAATTATTACCATCCGATACGATGTTTGCTTCTGATGATGGTTGCTTCCCTTTTCCCTTCTGCTTATTCTTCATCCATTCGTCGAGCTTTGGGCAGTCTTTCTTCCAATGACCAGTCTCCTTGCACCAAGCACACTGATCTTTTCCAATTGTAGGATGCCCTACTCTAGACTGTGACTTCCAATTCTTCCGGTTTGGATTCTTCCCTCTTGCGACCAACGCCTCTGCTACCGACTCAGTCGAATTCTCCTTATCCTTCTTCCGAAGTTGATAATTCACCAATACAGCAGTGACCTCACTATACGAAAGTGATGCCTTCCCATTAATCAGAGTAAGAACGAAGGTCTCATATTCCTCGTTGGGAAGGGAACTCAACAACAGCAACGCCTTGTCCTCATCTTCAATCTTGACATCCACATTCGCCAAATCCGCAAGAAGCTTTGTGTAGTGGTTCATGTGATCTCTAATGGAGGTTCCCTTCTTCAACTGGAAACGATAAAGTCTCCTCTTCAAATGCAAGCGATTTTCCACACTCTTGGTCAAATACAGCGCATCTAAAACCTCGCATCTCCATAATCCAAAGTTGTTTGTGCCATTAAATTTCTCCACATCTATCTTCATAGAATGGATATTCAGACTTTGAATGGTCTTCGCGCCAGAAGCACCGCCCTCGACACCAGAAGCACCTTCTTTCCCCGACATCTTACGCACCAACGAACGAAGAATAGATCCAAAACTAAAAAGATAGAGTCTTTACCAAAGATCCCACCTTTATCACCAACGAAGTCCTAAACGGGCCTCCAAATTGATCTACTCCTCCAACCAAACCCTAGATCTGGAATCTGGGCTCTGATACCACTTGTTGTGCACAGCGGAAATTTCGGCAGAGTTTCTGGTGCACAATAAGAGAGAAAGATCGATAAGAATTCTTGTTTCTCAAAGGGAACAAGAATCTGAAGCCTAATATCCCATCAAAGTGGGATATTAGCTCTTCCTCTCGTCAGCTCTAGGACTGCGCGTCGAGGGATCCTAATAACTATTACAATGACCACAAACTCAAACAACCAATTTTTCCACAGCCACAACCAAAATCTCCTTTTCTCCTGCGCGTGCACACTGTAGCCGCCACAAACCCTTGCCTTCAATTGCACGCCAGAGCCAAAAGAATTTCGTAGCTGCCAAAGCCTCCGAGCACCAAACCCTAGGAACAAAATAACGTGGCTATTTATAGCCTGATAAAGACATATGTGGGCCAGCGGTTAAAACCAAACCGCGTTAAGAAACGTGTGAGAAGAAACACGTTCACGTGGGCCACTGGTCCCCACATATTCACAGTTAGGATCAATGATGAAGCTATGTTGACTACCTTCGTCCTCTTAAGAAGTTTAGAGAAGGCATAGTTTATGGGAAAAGCAATAGGACTGTTTGCTAATATAGATGAACTTTACGTATGAGTTCCGTGATGGTTAATAAACTTTTTTTTTCCTCCTTCTTTCAAGAAGAGTTTTAAGCATATGTTTTGGGGTAATGCTGAACATGAGAATCTAATAAATGATTACTGCCCAATAAGGGCCACATTCAATGTATCTTAAGTAGAGGACAAGCTTAAATTGGGTGATCAAGAAATTAGTTTTGCTCATGCATCTATAGTTAAGGATGAATCTTTTTAATCTATCAGTTGCTGATGAATCAATCAATTCCAACGATAGGTCGATACTCAACTCTTGATGTTTACATCACATCAATTCTGGTAAGAAGCTGGTCTCTTGGTTTACTTAAATTGAAGGGAGGTGTTGCTTTGATAAGAAATTCTGCTTTGGGCAACAAAGTTGGTGAAGGAACATGTAGATCCCTTCACATGACGGTACTTACTGTTTCATATGTCTGTCACGTCCCAGAATCAAAGTTTGATCTCATTTCTAT